GAAAACTGACGTCTTCCTTTTCTGCACAAAAGAGGAAAGTGAGTTGCATAGTTTAAGATTCCTTTCTTCTCAGTCTAGTATCACATTGAATGTTTCAAAGTATACGTGCTGTGTAGAGATACAGGGACAGGATGTTATCAAAGTAACAATAATCTTCAGATGCTGACCTAGTAAGCTGAAGTCCTTTGAAACTGGTGAAATAACCTGAATGTGGACTTCATATCACAATTCTATATGCAGCATCCTTTCACCATGTTCGGTAGCTATGGCTTCTGCTACAAAAAAAATATAGTACCAGATCAAATTCAGAATCTTTACTGTGTTCTCTCCTTAGCCATCCTTATACTGCAAGACCTTTCTTTGTTCTGTATAAATGTGGGGACCATGCCCTTTCTCCTGTCTTTCCCTTCTCTTTACAGTCTTACAAAGGTGAGAAAAACACCTCTCTATAGGTTGCTGTTCCCAAAACTACGTTTGGGATTTTGCAGTCCTCTAACCAGCTGAAATTCACTGCGAAGGGTGCAAATGGGGCCAGGTATTTCTGCATTCTGGTTTAGATCTTAATTTCTTCTAACTCTGCTCTGTTGCTTCCCAAAGCCTAACTTGTCTTGCATGCTCAGCTGTGCTGTGCTACTGACAAAAGGTCAAAATGTGTGACACTTTTATTACACAAATAACAGAAGGCTGTTGTCCAGCTTTTATTGACTAAGCACATTTAGCTTTAATATTAGTCCTTTTATCATCTATCTTCCTTTTCTTCTGGCTTTTTCCATGTTTCATTTCGTTTTCACAAGGAAATAGCATGTAGCTCACTGTGCTTCCCAGTGCTTTCCTCAGAAGTATTTACTATTGTGCTCCAAGAGCTTGAGTGCTCCCAGTCCTCTTGCAGACTGAGTGGGGATAAAATAGACCAGATAATGTTGCCTGTTGTCACTCTTAAGGCTGACTTTGTGTCTTTTTAAAATATTCTTCTGTCAGCCTGAATTGCTCTAGTAAATAGCCAGTTACTGACATTGCTGTCTCAAAAGCCTGTGCTGGTTTTGGCTGGGATAAAGTTAATTTTCTTCATAGTAGCTACTATGGGACTATGTTTTGGATTTGTGCTGAAAACCGTGTTGATAATACAGGGATGTTTTAGTTATTGCTGAGCAGTGCTTACACAGAGTCAAGGCCTGTTCTGCTTCTCACACCACCCCACCAGTGAGTAGGCTGGGGATGTATAAGGAGTTGGGAGGGGACACAACTGGGGCAGCTGATCCCAGCTGACCGAAGGGATATTCTACACCGTACGATGTCATGCTCAGCATATAAAGCTGGGGAAAGCAAGAAGGGGAAGATGTTCAGAGTGATGGCATTTGTCTTCCCCAGTATTAGTTATGTGTGATGGAGCCCTGCTGTCCTGGAGATGGCTGAACACCTGCCTGCTGATGGGAAGTAGTGAATGAATTGTTTTGCTTTGTTTGTGTATGTGTTTTTTGCTTTACCCGTTAAACTGTCTTTATCTCAAACCATGAGTTTCTCACTTTTCTGATTCTCTCCCCACTTGTACTGGGTGGGGAGTGAGTGAGCAGCAGGGGCTTAGATGTCAGCTGGGGTTGAACCACGACATTTGGTTCCAATATTAGTGAGTGGTTCTAGTCTTAACTTTATTTCGGAGGAGACTACTGCAGTTGGCATGAAAGAGTATTTGTGGCGTTCCCTAGGTGTATCCTCTTCTGTAGACTATGTTGGATTGGGAATTCCTCTCAAATCCTGACAGGAATGCTCAGGAAAGACACTTCCAGCAGTTATGGTTGCTATTAATTTGTTGCTCTTAGTTTTTTCCTCAATTATTATTTCACATTTTTTCTCCTTGTTCTTCTAACTCACATGTTGAAGACCTGTTTCTGGAGTTAGTTTAGGTACAGCACTGAATAAGTACATCTGGTTCATACTGAAAATGGCAGGTTTAGCCTTGTCATATCTTTACACTTGACTTGATTCCACCCTCACACCAGAAATCATCTGAAATGCTGAGATGGAAAACTTTGTAATTATTTCAATTACTGTATCCTCCATCTGGTTTGGCTGTTGCCTTGTGCTCAATAATTTCACACACATGCTCAGCATTCGGTGTGTGCGTGTGTGGTAGCTTTTGTGGTGAAAATTATTACAGTATTAATGCTTTTTACAAGTTTCTGCAAAATAGCTTCTCACAATAGTTGTCTTGGAAAAGTACTTTCAGGTTTTATTTATTTTGTTTGTTGATTTTTTTTTCCCTTGAGAATATAGGTGACATTTTGTTTGTGTATTTTCTGTTGAGTTTTTTTGGAAGCGAGGACTGTTTGTACTGGAGAGCAGCCTGCAGTGCTCTATGGTGCGTTTGTATTTCTAAATGTAGTTGGTGAACAGGCACTGACAGAACTGTGTCTCCTGTCTGAGTAGACAAGACTGCTGTTGCCTTTGTTCGTGGATTGAAACAAGTAAACCTCCACGACTGGTTTTCTCTCCTAGATGAAGATTAGGATTAGGGAAGGATTTGGGAATTGATAAAGTGTGGCTTCTTTTAGTTCCTTTCAAAAACTTCAGAAAAACTCTTATCTAACAGTGTGTCCACAAAGTTAGAGACAGAGAGAAAAGAAGAAATGTATTTCATTTAGTATATTGTGAAAAATCTTTATTTGTAGTTGAGAAGAGGAAAAATTACCCTTTGTGAAGAGAATGTGTTATATCAGAAAATATATTTGGAAATCTAGGATTTTTCTTACAAATTACTGAAAACCATGTCTCTTACCATACCTTAAAAGCAGAAAAATGTTATGAACGTACAATGCATGAAGAACTTGTTGATGAATTTAAGGAAAAGCTATACATCTTGTCTGTAAGGTATCAGAGATTGGTGCTTCAATACATCAACATGCCTTTTCCATTTTTGCCTGCTATTCTGTAGTGTAACTGTCATGTCCACAAGGACACAGCTGCCCAGTGAGTCCTCATGGCTCCAATGGCTTGAGCAGTACAGATGCCTTCCTTGCACCTGTCTGGCAGTTGTACTGACCCAGATGTTTAAGGGGATTTATTCTATGTTGGGTTAGGGGTCTGTGTTATTCTTTTTTGCTGTGTTATTTTTACGCAGGGTCAATTTCCTGAGCTGATTGCCTATCTTGCCCCTGTTTGATGATATGATGGTTGTTCTTAAGTTCTTGCTGTTGAATGTGGTTTTGCTGACAGAGATTTTGCTTTAACCACAGCCAAAATGGTGTCTGATGTAAGAAGAGAAATTAAAAGATTGCACCAGTTTACTCAACATGATGGGGAGGGAGATAAGTAGATGAGGAGTGATCTGTAAACACAAGATTACAAGGCAGCTTGGTGGTGTGTGCATCCTTCTTGTATTCTCTTGATAGAAGTGAATCATGGCCCTCACCTAATAGCAGCCTGAAGAGAAAGTGTGAAATTCAAAGGAAGATTGGAATAGGTTTCTGGAAAACCTGTAAACAAAAATGTCATGGCAGTCTGTGGGTGGCAATGTGAGTAAGAGCAGACCCATGTTCCTCTTGGAGGGAAACTGTTCTTCATCACCTCTCTCCTTCCACTTCTTTGGTTCATGTGAAGATGTCTGATGCTGTGTCCCATCTTGACTTGTGTTTTATAGTGTTAAAGTTTTTATATGAGAGTCTTCTCTTGTGTCATTGAAATGATAGCCTCCTACTACCTAGTTTCTGTCAGATGACTTTGAGTGGCAGTAGCCGAGTTACTCTCACTTACCTTTTAATTAAATTTGTAATAGGCTTCTGCTAAAGTATGTTCACCTGTGTGGTATGTTTTAACTGTATTTCTTCTTGAGAAATATAAAACCCATTGGACAAAGTTTGTTTTAAAAGCTGGGGAGGGCCCTTCAGACTAAAATCAAAGCTCCTGTGAGATTTCATTTACTCTTTTCTGAATGCAGTACGAGATTGGTGCTTGAAGTAAGGATGTGTTTTTCAGATGCTATCAAAAGTCAATTCATGAAAAGTCTTCTTTCCCCTTTAGTAACTCATTAATCAGTTATGTTGCTTTCCCTGCTTGGATGGCTGTATTGGAGTTGCAATATGAAGGCTTTTCTTTAGTATTACTCAGATTATGAACTGCTTTTTTTACTGGGGCTAACTAACGATCCTGTAATTCAGTATGTTGGTATTGTTTGAAGTGAAAACAAGTATTTCCATTTCATGTGGTCTGACTATGTGGGGTTTGGGTTTTTTGTTGTTTGTTTGGATTTTTTTTCCATATGGTATACAAACAAAAACATTTTGGATTAGATTTAACACATGTTTCAAATTTAGTGGAATTCCTGTTTTAATCTAGATTTTATTTAAGGCATAGCACACTGTCCCTCTCCCCTGCACACCAGTGCAAAACATATTCTGTTGTAGGGAACTACTTATTTGCAGTTGCCATAACTGGTTTTTACTTTTCCCTGGGTTGCTGGAAGATTAGAGCAGATTATAGTGTTGGGATAATGTCTGACTCCTTGTGTTCCATTTAGTCATAAATAAACCCCTTAAAAATCTGAATGTTGCTATGGTGATGTTAGTAAAAGCTTGGGATATGGAGTAAGTGAGCTGCTTAGAAGCATAATGTCACTTAGAGTAATGAGCACGCCGTTAGAAGAGTGATGGGTTTACCTGATGCTCTGTAACTTTGGTAGCCCAGGCCAGATTCTGAAAGCGAGTAAGTAAATGCAATTCATATGAATATGCTCTCTTCAGCACCTTGCAACTACTGACCTAACAAGTGGAAATTTGTGTTTTGTCTGTTTACTGTCTGGCTTCATTGTGTTGAAGTATCAGAGAGAAACAACCAGAAACTTCCAGTCTTTGTATGCTGTCTTTCACATGATGATCTGGTTGAATTGAAACAACAAAAAAATCAGCTTACAGCAACTCTGTGTAAACAGACAACTGTTCTTCTCTGAAAGTGTGGAATACAAAAAAAAAAAAGATTACATTAAAACGTGGTTGGTTTTTTTTTTTCAGTCTTTATAACCTGGCTTCACTGGAACTTAGAGAAAATTTGCTGACATATTTACCTGAGTAAGTGACATTTCATGTGTTTTATTATGTTAACATAAAATGTTCTTATTCTTAAAGTCTACTAATGTCTGAAACTGAATGACAGCTAAAAAAATTATTCAGTGCTGACTGACAACATTTATGAGGTACAGCTTTGTTTTAGCAACACCTAATTACATCCATCACTTCTGGTTGTACTTTGTTAGTAGCAGGAGCCTGCACTCTGTTGATTGGTTTTGCTCTATGTAAATATTCTGTATAAAACACAGCAGCACCAAACGCTTCCTCCTGCATGTGTTGAATGAGCACAGCAGCAGTGGGGGTGGTAGTTTGGGTTGTTCTTGTGCTGAAATTTCGTAACTGTGAAAGTAGGGTAATAGGATCGCAGAGATTTCAAATCTAGACCTTCCTAGCATTTAAATAAGCATTTGCGTTCAGGGATAAGTATCCAAAAGCTTCCAAAACCTGGAGATCAAAGCCTCGGTGACAAATTAGGCCTACTCATGTCTGAATTCTGGCTGCACTCACCATGATTTTTGGAGAAAAAATGCTATCTAGATGTCTCTGTGCTGCCTGTATTGTGGCAGAGGAGTTGGTGGTCTTTTGTAAGTTTAATCGGATGAAGCCTCTTCTTTCTTTAGTGAAGGAGGTTCCTTACTTCACAACCTGGCAGCTTCTTGCATGAGTTTTCATGACTCCTACTCAACTTGTTTAGATAATCTTGTAGATACTGTAATAGGTTTAATCTATTTTAATCGGAATCTCTTCCCCAGTTGCTTTGGGGTCCTTTTCTCCTGTCAATCTACCAGTTACCTCAGTTGTGGATGGTTATAGCTGTGAGCCGTGAGGCATGTTCGATGTCAGTGGTCAGAATATATAAATTGCTAGCTAGGTTTTGCCATGCAGTGTCAGAATGAAGCTATCACAAATGTTGACAATTTTATTGCTCAGGGAAATTTCTGAGTGTCAGTAATGTAGCTGACGAGTCTCACTGGCTTTCATGCTACCATGGCTTTGGAGAAGGTAAGCGAGAGCTCTACAACAGACAGCTTTTGGAGCAGAAGGACGGTCCTCTGGGTCTCATGTTCAGAGAATTTCTTTTATATCCTTTTGAGCTTCTCTCTCTTTGCATCCTCAAATCCAACCTGAAATGCTTCATAAGTGGATAGATCAGGTTGGGAAGATAAATGATGGATTTGTTGAGTCTTGAGTCACACCGTTACGTGTGATCACTGTATGGGGAATTTTTATCCAGTTGCATAACTGTAAATTTCCCCTAAATATGCATCTAACCTACTGTACTATACTATGTGGCGTTGTACACTCCAAGGGAATGATGGTTAAAATAAAGAATAATGATTTTGATTGCCTATACTAAGTTTTGGGTTTCAAGGGCATGCAGTTATACTGACAAACCAAATTATTTTTTCAGTAAGGTATTACTGCAAATAGTCTGTGCCCAGTAAAATAACTGTCTACAATACATGCAACTGTCTACAATACGAGTTTCGGTAAAATGAGCTCATTCAAATACATGGAATTTCTGTTGTTTTAGTCTGATGTGGTTTTGTTTTGACTTATCTCACAGATCACTTGCCCAGCTGCAGCGACTAGAAGAACTTGATTTAGGAAACAATGAACTTTATCACTTGGTAAGAAAACATGCCACTGAAAGTGCACATTGGTCTTGTCGTGCTTAATTTAGATTAAATAGGTTGTAGGATGTCCAAAATTGAAGATGGAAAGAAAAATGTTTAGAGAGAGTCTTTTTATACTTACAGGTGAATTTTGGCAGTGAGTCAGTGCTTCCCATATCTGCTTAGTCTTGTTCAGTACAATATTATTTTACCCAAAAACTGCAGCTGATCTCTAGAAAATAAAAGCACTGCACAGACGTTTTCTGTCATCTCTCTTAAGATGACTCAATTAAGTGTTGGATTTGCAGTAGATTAAGAGTGTGCATGCAATTTGTTAGTGCATGTCAGGTAAGGTATGGTAGCTTGTTAAGCTGTAGCAATTAAATTGTGTCATGGAGTTCCCAAATGCTTACAGTCACTCTTGCTGCATTTAACCCTGGTACCTCTAAATAGTGTTTGGAGTAAGGATTAGTTTACTCAGTCTGTAGTTGTGGCCATTTGGTTTTTACATTAAGCTTCTATGCTACTTAACATTGTTACTTTTTATGTTATAGCCAGAAACAGTTGGTGCACTTTTCAATCTTAAAGACCTCTGGTTGGATGGAAACCAATTATCTGAAATACCTCAGGTAAAGATGAGCTCTACTGATACTGTTTTGAAGATGCTTTTAAAATAAAACCTTTTTGTTCATACCTAAAGGAAGGAGATTGAAAATGGAATAGTTTTCTTGGTCCACTTTGCCTGGGTTTGGTTTTTGATGTGTAAGGGTTTTCTCTTAGTTAAGTTCCTCTGCAAGGGATTATACATAATATCATACGTTGTCAGACATTTTCTTTTAAACATTTTCACAGAGGAATTGTTTCCTAATAGGCTCATTGTTCAGTTTATAAGATGACAAAACCTCTGTTTTCAGTCCTGGCCCAATGATGAAGGAGCCACTAGTTAGCTGAGCTAACCCTCACCTTTTGTAGCTTATCTAAACTGCAGTTTTGACAGTTTTGAGGATGAAACATTGGAGTTTTTGCAGTCATCTTCTTCCATTCAAGTACAGTGTTTGAGAGAAGTACAGTAATAGAACTGTTGCCATAAATAGAAATTTTGATTTATGTAGGCAAATCCCCCCATCTGACATCAGTCATGGGATGAGAAAGAGGCCTTAGCATTTAAAGCTTACAGCACTCTAAATTCTCTTTCTTAAGAACAGTGATAACATGTGGGATGGTTTCTTTTCCCTCTTATTCCTTTAGAGCCAAGTCAAAACCTGTTTTCTGCAGTTCCTGGTGCAGTTTGCTGCTGTTTGCTGTATTGATCTTATTGTCAACAGCATAGCTTGGAAATCAGTTACAGTTTAGTGAGCTTTGACTTTGTTGTTAGCGTGACCTAATATTTTTTTAAGTAAATGTAGTTAAACACTTATGATCGTTCTTAAAGGGTCAAGTGTGACTTCAGGAGCTGTTTTTATTGAAACTGGCCATTATTATGTCTTTTGTCTAATGTCCAAAAGATGAACTCTTAGAATAAAGGGGGTGTATGTTTAATGGAAGATCCTCTTGAGAGGCAGTCATTTCCAAAATAAAAGGACTGAACTTGTGAGTTATGATAAAGGCTCTGTCACTGTATGAAAATTTCATATATGTAAAAATAAAGGATAGTTCTGCCTCAACCACTGTTTCTCCAAAAGAAGATTTGGATGACTGAAATGAGAACTATTCTAGAGCGTATATAGGGGTGTCTGTGTACATGGGGAATAGGAGGATGCTCTGATGGCTATAGGGGCAAAGGTATTTCTGTGTCAGACTTTTAAACTAATTGGTGGATTACCATTGTAAAAAATAAGGTAATCATTAATGGTTGTAGATGATGGCAGTATATCTTGGCAGTTCAAATATGCTTGCTAGAGCAACACTCCCTATTTAATTTCTACATTTGTTGCTGTTAGGAGATGTGAAGATATGAAATCCCTAGATGTCATGGCATGTTGCTGTATCAGTCAGGAGAGACTAATCCTAATTTGCCTAGGGTTAATTGGGAGGGGCAAGCTTTAATTGCATGGAGGCTGATAATCTGTAGTTCTGAAAAAACAACTTTGCAGTCTTTACTTGAGGAAAATTCCAGTTTTGGCTGGTGCTTGCCTGGGTGTGCTTAGCATACCTTGTCTGACTGCTGAAGCCAGTCTTAATGGTTAGAATAAGAAACTGTGACTGAATCACTTGGTTGGTTTATCATATGTAAGATGTAATTATTTACTTTTATCTACATTTAGAGGTGTACAAAGAATGGCCAATTCAGAGGTCATACAGAGGATTGTTTTTCTTTCTGGAATTTCATTGTGATGGTACCTTTTTCAAATTGCTTTGTTACATGTTAGGGCATGACTTAATTTTTTTGTCTTGTATCGCAGGAAGTGGGAAACCTGAAAAACCTGCTTTGTCTGGATGTTTCTGAAAATAAATTGGAATGCCTTCCTGAAGAAATTAGTGGTCTGACTTCTTTAACAGACTTGCTTGTTTCTCAGAATTTACTTCAGGTCTTGCCTGATGGGATTGGTAAGTACAAGGTGAATGCTATCACACAGAACCATTTAATCCACTGTAAATTGGAAGTAATTTATTTTCAAGTCTTTTGAAATCCTTTTGTGCAAGAGATTAGCTTGTCTCAGCCTTTTATTTTTTTTTGCTTAGTATGAAATGCACAGCTCTATTAATTTTGCATTTTAATTGTCTGCATAATAACTACCTTGTAATCCTTTTTTGGCCTTCAATTTATACCAACCCAAACAGAGTAAAAGTTATTACATCCTTCTCTGTTCTTACTTTTGTCCATGTCACCATCATAACTCTTTAACATTGCAAAATTCTAGCTTGTAACATGCTGTAGGTCACTCGATAAGACTGACTGACAGTATCATACAAAAAAGCCATCCTTTTTAGCGGGAATGTGTAATTATCTTCAGTTGGACAATGTGATGAATCCTATACTGAACCCAGTGGAAGGCTGTTGCAGCTTCAGCCTATTACTCCTCACCCTTGAGGATCCAAACTACAACCTTTCTGTATCTGACCCCTGTTGCTTTAATAACTGAGGAAAGTTTTCTGAAGCATTACCAGTGCCTTTTTCAAGCTAAATGTTTTTACATCTGCAGTGGCTGTGACAAGTAGTCAGTGAGACAGTATTTCTCTGCTACTCATCAGCTGTTTTTCCAGAGAGTTTCATGTTGCAAGAGCATGCCTTCTCCTTGCTTATTTTTGAAATAAAGAAAAAAAAAAAAGGTGTAGGGGAAGGAGGGTGTGTGAATGTCATTTAACTGAGAACATGGGTAAGAATGGACAGACCTTCCCCCTCCCTCCATATGCTATATGAGCCCAAGAAAAGATAAATATTTTTCTAGAAGTTAAACTTGGGGGAGTGGGGTGACTACTGGGAGTCCTACAGTTGGCTGGTGTGTATTTGGTCGAGAGTTCGAGCAGCCCTCTCTGATGATCTGAGCTGGCCAGTGCAGTTGTTGTACATCAGAGATGGATCTGTGTCTTCGGTAAGGCTGCAACCGCTGCAGCCTGCAGGAGGGGAGCTTGTCTGTAACATTGTCTGGTGAATAAGAGGAGCTGCTGCTTCTTGAGAACCCTGGCAAGTGGAGATTCTTTGCTGGGGAAGGGCATTATGAAGGGCCAGGCTGTTTCAGGCCACGCCTTGTTTGCATGTGCATTTTGTAACATTTTCTGGATGTAATTTTGTAAAAGGCAAAAAAAATGCTACTTATGTGAATTTAGAGTCTTACTTGCTTTTGAAAAATTTGGTATGGCTACAGTATTTATTCTTTTTGTGTAATATTGGAGCTTATGTGAAATTGAGAAAATCTGGTATTGTGGTTGAAATGAACCTTGCTGGTCTCTGTGGAAGCCACTGGGAGGAGCGCAGCTGATCACCAAACCCTTGGTTGGATTGGTGGATCTGTAGAGCCCACAGAGCAGGACTCCCACCAACACCAGTGGGTCAGGTCAGCAGTGGCTGTGTCACACCAAGTCTCTAAAGCCCCTGATGGAGGTGGCTCCAGCACCCCTGGATAGCCTGTGTCAGTGCTGCTCCACCTCCTAATGATGAAGCTTCTGATGTCCAGCTGGGACCTCCCATGCTTCAATCTGTAACCATTGCTGTCTCACCTGTCACTGCAGAAAAGAGTTTAGCTCTGTCAGGAGCCATAACGCCCAAGTCCTTTCCACCAGGGTTCCTGTCTAGCCCATCACTTGTCAGCCTATACCAGTGCACAAGGTTATTCTGCTCAGGTGCACAGCTCTGCACTTCTCCTTACTGAACCTTGGGTTTCTCTTTAGGTTGCTATCTTACCATGTGTCAGCCATCTCTTCATGATTGGCATCATCAGTGAATTGGATGTGCCAGCCTATTGCAGCTATTTGGGACAGTGTGGGGCTGGCCAGGGAGGTGTTTGCAGCTAGTGATGTCTCCTAAATTCTCTGTCTTGTGCTCTGCCTGGGTCAGCTCCACTTTGCGACAGAGATCATTCTGATACAAAGGAGCAGAATTGTAAAATAGCTTGGGTTGGAAGGGACCTTTAAAAGCCATCTAGTCCAGCCTCTCTTGCAATGAGCAGAGACATCTTCCACTAGATCAGGCTGCTCAGAGCCCTGTCCTGGCCTTGAATGTTTCTAGGGATGGGGCATCTACCACCTCTCTGGGAAACCTGTTCCAGTGTTTAACCACACTCATTGTAAAAATTTCTTCCTTATGCAAGGAAGAACAAGGGGAGCTTTCTGCTCTGAAAAAGTATTATGTCCTTCCTGGGGAGAAGACCTTCAAAGAAGTTTGATTTGTATTCTGAAAAATGAACTTGAGTTTTGTGTCTGACTGACTGGGTTCTATATTAGGACGAGACCTTGATCCTGCTTCAGTTTAGGCTGTCACTTTCTTACTATGGCTGAGTAAGCATAGGTGATCTTCTGAATGCTCCTTTATGAATAAACATTGTACAACTGAGGAAAAATAGATAATTTTCTCCTGTTTATAGATCTTTGGGTAGGCACGTCCTTGACAATTACATGGGGTATCATTCAGATTGCAACTTTAATACAATTTAATATGTTTAAAAATTGAATATAAATATTTATATTGAATACAAATTCAGTATAAACTTGCAAATTTGAATTCAATATAAACTTGCAAAAATAGTGCAAGTGCCAAGTGAAGCAGTGTTTGAATTCTTTTTTTACCTGATAAAAATTTTCATTATGCTAGAGGATTTCTAAAAGTTCTGCAGCAGAATGATTTTCTGTAGTTAAAGCAGGTGTCAGAGGATACTAAGCTAAACAAATATGTTCTTTCTGTCCAGGAAAATTGAGGAGGCTCTCCATTTTGAAGGCTGACCAGAACAAACTTATTCAACTAACAGATTCAATTGGAGACTGCGAAAGCCTTACTGAACTAGTTCTAACAGAAAATCAACTGCAGGTAAGCACGGGCATGACTGCTCAAATGGCTGGCAGTGATAAGACCTGCTGTAGGTGCTGAATCACTTAGCTTGTGAAGTTCCCCTTGCTACTGCTAAGCTGCGAGTTTCCTTTAAATGCATTGTATTTCTTACCTGTTAAATGAGTGCTGAGGATCAAGTTGTGTGTAGTAACAATTCGCCTTTCCAAAGGTTTAAGCAGTTACATATTCGCTCTTGAATCTTTCATGACCAGTGACGGAATTGGAGCACCTGGAGTGCAGGGATCACTTACTTTCTTGTGTATTTAATGCGGAGTTTGTGCCATGTTGCATTATTGCCAGTTTTTGCTGTGCATTATCTGGATCCAACTTGCTGGAGCTGAGTAGAAACCCTGAGTGCTGCAGAGCTGCTGTTGTACTGTTCCTTACTCTGCTGATCTACTCCAGCCAGGTGTTAACTGTGGTATGTAGTCAGTTAAAATAGACTTCCTTCCATTAGGTGTTTCCTTCCATTATTTTGAAATTGCTTTCACATGATACTGACACTTGAGAGTAGAAGTGTTTATAAAAGCCTAAATTTGAGCATTTCTTAAGTTAGATTGATGCTTGATTGAGTTAGGATCTTAAGCCTGTTGGAAAGATGCCTCTCAGGAGGTCAGTTCATAGCACCTAATTTAGAAGATTGCCTCTCAATCACCTGTTTGGGGAACCTAAAGTTAGATAATATGGACATTCTGCATATACGCTTCTGTTAAGAGCTGCTGTGCATCTATAACCTTAGTGCAGAGATAACTCATGAGTGTATTTGTGTTACAAACTGATGTTCCTGGACATTTCTTCTGCAAGATAAAACCTTGGGTCTCCTTTGGAAGGCCTGGCAGCAATGAGCATTTACTACACTCCAGTTTTGAAAACGGACCAGTCTGTTAATTCTATTAATTAAATAAACTCTACTAAATAAAATAAATATTTTATTAAATCTATAAATAAGTCTATTAAGTCTAATAAAAATAATTAATTTGAAAGTGAGATAAGTTTTATTCTGACTCTGTGAATTTACAAATTCTGTTGCATCTTATTTTGGTTTTGGTGGCATAGTCATTGCCGAAGAGCATCGGAAAACTAAAGAAGCTGAACAATTTGAATGCCGACAGAAACAAGTTAACATCTTTGCCCAAAGAGGTAAGTTTTCTGCAATTAACTCTCACAGATGTGATTATACAAACAGAAAACTCTTGATTTCTAATACCTACAAGAAGTAGTTGGCAGCTTTGATCCACTGGGTATTCTTCCTGAACTGATCACAGCCAGAAACTCATCCATTAGATCTGAGCAGCAGAAATCTGAACAGAAGCTGTGGTGGTTTGGAAGTGCAAAATGTCTTTGCAGTTGAACAAGAAGGCTTGGCTCTAATTAGCTCGTAACCAGGAATTTCCAGTGTGGGTGTCAGGCCCAGCACTATTTGAAGACTGAGAGTTCTGTTAGACTCAGTGCTTTTAAACATCAATATGCCTCTTCTGCATGTAGTACAAGAAATCCTCCTCACCTCACTCTTGTGAGCAATAGCAAAGGAAAGGTTTTGTATTCTGAAAAATGATTCAGAGACTGTCAAGTCTTTTTGTTTTTGTTGATCTTGGGACTGCATTTGCCTTTTGATATGAGGACCTGATATGATCAAGATCACTGATACCTCAGATCTCACAGCTGTGATCACTTGAACTTCTTGTCTATTGTAACAGTATATGGAATGAAATGATGGTAGAATTTTCATTGTGAAACTAAATATAACGAAGGCCTTACAAGTTCAGTTAAGCAGTAAATTCTGGAAAGAGATCGGGGGAAGCATGGGACTGTGAGTTGGTTCTTTTTGCACTACTGTTTCTCTCTAATTTTTGTCCAAGTAGCTCTCCCCTTTAATTTTCCTCTCTGTTTTTAACATGTTACTCTGAGGTTGTAGCTTTTGTTCACCATTTTCAGTCACTTCAGGAGCAGGAGGGGTATGTACTTGAGTGGCAGCAAAGTGACCTGGGAACCAGGCGTTGGGCAGGGATTGAGCAGGGGCAGAGGATGCTGCTGTGGTAATGTCAGCAACAGTTCCAGTGGTCCAGGTCTGAGCTGCCACAGGTCAGTCCCCTAATTGGAGCTCCACGATAGCCCTTGTTGCACCTTTATGGACTGACTTGTAAGTGTGTATTTGACAGGGGAGCAAAGGTGAGGGAGGGACAAGATGTGAGTACTGCAGCTCTTCTAGCAGGACAGTGTCTCCTCTGCAGCAGTGCTGCTGATTCTGAACTAAAAATTGCAGTGGGCGTACCCAGATGGGTTGCATAAATGCTGGCAAGAGGCAGGACCTTGGGAAAACTGTGTTTCTGGGTCAGGATGTAACAGCAATCTTGATCTTGTGCTCATTCAGCAGAAAACTTTCCATGTCTTTACAAAGAACTTAATTTAATACATTACACAGGTGTCCTAAACTATCTGTACTTGAGACTTGTACAATGTTGTGTCTAGTCCACCTTTAAGCAGAATTACTCTTAATTTGTATAGTGTGTAAGGTTTTACTGATACTTTTTTTCCAGATTGGCAATTAATAGTTTATATATAAGCACTTTTCTTAATGAAGTTCATGATATTGGAGACAGGAGCAGGTGAGAGGAGGAAGCTTGGCTTCAGAAGCAGGTAAATCAGGGTGAATATGGAGTGTATCTGTGTGGGGGATAACAGAGTCAAGGGCTCGGTGCAGGACAGTAAAGAGATTGATGCTGAACAAGAAACTGGAGACTTGGAACCAGAAATGGGTCTTAGAGGTGGAAAGCATTGCCCAGTTGGTAAAGGAGTTGGGAATACTGGAGGGTGAAGTGAAGAATAAGAACATGCGTGGAAAACATTTGTGCACATGATAGAGAGGGAAAGGGACACCTGTACATGGAATGGGATAAAGTCAGGGATAAGGTTGTGTTTGGAGAAGGCAAGTGATCAGGAAATGGAAGATGGTATCTGCAATGAGGTGAGCTGGGGAGCTGTAGAAAGTCCAGGAAATAAAGATGGGAGAGGGTGGTTCCCAGGGAATTTGGCAGAGAATCAGAGGAAACAGAGCTCCTTGGCATCCACTTCTTTGAAGTAAATTTTTTTTTTTCCTGTAAAAGTCCATACACCTATGTACTTTCTCATTTTAGCAAACACTTCAAAATTATATTTATCATAGTATTTCCACAGTGTTTCATTGAAGTATGTTTTGCTCTGTGGATTTTAAAAATTCTGGTTTTTTTTATTTTTAAAGGAATTTAGTCCTCCTGCAACTGGAGGGTCATATCCACCCTCCAGATCAGTGGATTTGAATTCTAAGCTGGTAATGGTAACAAATAGCATAAACAACTGATGCAATGGTTTGTCTCAAGAATACTGTTAATATGCGTGTATTGCAGGACCTACTGTCTATCTAACGAGACTTTTCAGTTTGTTTTTCAAGTTTCAGTTTCAATTTCTAGTGCTTAGGCAGTGCAATGAAGGACTTTTCTCTCAGTCTTTAGATTGCCTTCTAACAATGCTGAAATGCTAGTTTCAAAACCAAAGAAACTTACTGCTCTCTGCTCATGTTTTGTCTGTTCCTGGAGTGGCATTTTCTTTGTATAGTGTTTCTCTTAACCAGTAGCTTTTTGCTTTAAATGAAGTGTGAGCATTTCTGTAGTACAAATTTTGTGGTTGAAATTCAGAGGAATTCAGTGAAGAGTTACATTTCAGAGGTCTCAAATAAAAATGCTCTCTGTAAACAGAGTGCACAGGTATAATGAGCCCTGTTTGCTCTTAAGCAAAGCATCCACAGGAGCAGCTTTGGGAGTGCTGATGATGGCAAAGATCCAATGCTGAATTTCCTTTTGGATGGCAGGGAGGAACAATTTGGTGTCTTGGTGAAGTGTTCAGTTTCCACTTTCCTTATCATCATTACTGACTTGGGAAAAAAAATACAAAACACATTGGTAGAGCATTTAAGGGAAACTGAAAAATGTGTCACCCATTTTTTGTCTGTTGGAAGGCTCTGCTTGCAGTGAGAGAGCATACCATCTTTTCCATTTATTTTCATCTCAAACTGAGTAATTACTATTTAAAGCTAGGCATGGGCTTCTGACAGCACTTATTTTTGACACCACTGCCCGCGGTGTGTTGCTTAAGATGTCTTTTGACATAGTATGGCGAAGACTGGGGTCTCAGACCTTTGCGTGTCAGTCAGTCTTAGTACTCATACATTGGTTCCCCTTTCACAGAAGCAGTCAGATGCAGAAGTAGAGTATGCAATGCAAATATTCTTGCTTGGTATCTTCCCCTCTTTTCCTTCCCCTGTGTTTCTTTCTGCTTTCTCTCATTCTTTTTCTGCCTTGCAAAACAGCTGTGCATTTGTGGTCCGTATCATTAGTAAGAAATGGTTGTGGGACAGGCCATTACTGGCTGCTTTTGGAGAGGGACAAAGAGACAGTCGGGTAATGCGCATACAGGAAAAATGCGACTCTACTAGAGAGAGGAGTGCATGTAACAAATACCGCATCTACTTGCTGGTGTCTCTGTCCTTCCCTTCAGAATCATTCCTGTAGCAGAGAGAGCTTTTATAAATATGATGGCAGAAATTACATGCCTGCTCTAATATGTCCTGGTGAAATAACCTGTGAATTCTAGCCTTTTTGTGGTGATTTGGAATTTTATTTTTGGCTTTGGGGTTTGTTTGGGGTTGGTTGGTTGGTTGTCATTCACAGTTTACTAGGATAGGATTTTGGGGTAGCCTGTCAAACCATTACATTACCAGATTGTTTCAATGCAGACTTGTAAAACTAGTCTCTACCTTTTGGCGTAGGATTTCTTGACTTGGGATTATTGAGGCACTTGTATGCAAATACTCCTTCAAAGTTTCCTGGTTCAAAGGTTCTTCTGTATCTGGTGCAGATATATAAGGTAAAACATGGAACAGCTGAATGCCTGACCAAGACCTGAGTCACTGACAGGTTTCATCTTAAGGATCTCATCTTGCAGCTCGATGCCTCTCTCACTGCACTAAGTGGTGAAACAGACTTCAGCAAGAACCGAGAATGTCTGAACCTGTTCATAGTTACAAATGTTTTTCCCCTTAAACTTGAAAGACCTGCCTGGTGACTCTCTGGTATTGAAATCCCACCCTGGCACTGGAACGCTGGCGAAACTGGTGTGTTGATTTTGGCACTTGCATAAATCACCTCCTTGGAATGTTTTCCAGTTCATGTGCTTTTGTTAATGAGTCTCTGCCACCTGCAGGGATCTGGTAACATGTCCTTCCTGGCTCTGAGCTATATTGTGGCTGAGAATTATTACTGCAGTAGGTAAAACTGCAGGGTTTTTTTGGCAGTAACTCTGCTTTTTACATTATTTTTTTTAAACAAGTTTGGGCCACTTTCTTTTTTCTGGTTTTGTCTTCTGTTGACCCATCCCTTCCCTCGTTGTTTTAAAAGTATGTGTGTGTGAGTCTCAAAGGAAAAAGAGGCACTGAGGAAAAATGCAGGAAAACTTGTCTTGAGTCAGAGGGCAGAGAAGCTCCCTTGCCATGCTCTTCCCATACTGTTCACCAGTGGTGCAGGGAGTGTTGAAGTGAGTTTGCAGAAGATTTTCCTAGCCAATTTAACATTAGTAATAACTGGATAATAGCTAATAATAGTGAATTGGGCACTTTCTTCCACCTCTAAATGTACTCTGTGCTTACACTTAAAGAATTAATATCTTTTTTCTGGGGCCAAGGAAAATTTTGACTTTATTTACTTTGAATCCCAACAAAATTTTGGTTATGACACCCAGGGAAAGTTTTTACAACAAAATAGGAACTATGGTTAAATTCCCAGTATATCTGAGTTATGTAAGCCTATTAAGAGTTCTTGATGCCAACAGCTGTATTGAGAGTTGAATAAAAGAGATATGTTGCTGGACTTTAGTCATATGCTAAAGAATAATCATTGTACTATTTGCTTTAATGTTTTGGGGTTTTTTGCGTAGCTCATACCTGTGTGAAAGATGCTAACTGGTAAAGGAGTTGATTCATAGCTTTTGAGCAGTTAACAGATGCTGACATCAAAAGGTGTTATTCAACTAACATAACTTGAAGATCTTCCAAGTTTTAATTTGTGTTACGGCTTTAGAGCACTAACAGTGTGAGGATGCGCCATCATAATTAGTGAAATTTGGGCTGTGGTGGTGAATGACTGTAACTGGCAGCTAGGCTCAATAGAGGGAGCAAATGGGAGCTCTGGGACGGATCTAAATGGGAGGAGAGGGATGAATCTGCACACTTTTCTTGGGTTTGCCTCCAGAAAGCTGCAAGGGTGTCATCAGCAAGAAAAATCAAATGGAAACCATCAGGTAGGGCGCAGAGAAGCGCCGTAAAAGTGGGGTGATCAAAATTATGCAGCTGATGGAGGTGTCAAAACAACAGTCTGTCTGCAGGAGAGGAGTCATCGGAAACAGCAGGGAAGTGATGTGATAAGATTTACAGTTCTGGAGGACTATTTAAGATGGACTGGCAGTTGGGTATGTGGATGTCAATACAAGCAGAAGGCTGAAGTGGTGAGCACCGGTCACGATCAGAGCATAGAGGGGTATTTTAGCAGCCAAGCTGACATCCTCTCTATGTATGCCCAAGTCTTACTGCTTCTCCAGAGCAGGGAAGCTGTTGGAAAGATGAGCCTCAGACTGAGATAGTAGAAAAGAGAAAAAAATCCTCTGTAAGGGTAGAGTTTTGTGTGGAACCCAGAGAAGTCCTAGTGCTGCTCATCCGCTGAAGCAAGTCCACCTAAATGCAAATAAGTTTTGTTCATACTTTACAGTACTGTAAAATGGGTGTTCTCAAAATCATCACTTCATAGTAATGATCATTTTCTGCCTGACCGATGTGTGGCATTTATTTTTGTGGTTGTGTTTTTGTTTTTTTACCAGGGCTGATTGTTCTTTGGAGATGGTGGAATGAGGCAAATGAATTCAAGTTGCTAGAATGAAATAATTCTCAGAAGTATGACTTAGAAATGCACAACTCACTCATTTGAGGCCTTTTCCTGATGCCTAGCTCACTACAGAAGAACGTGAGGGCTTCTTTAAGCCTCCAGTCTTTGGAGCAGTTACTCATGTGCCTAGAAATAGGCACATGCTTGGCCCTGTTAATTGAAGTCTGTGCTCAAAACGATCTGTGTGCTTCACTGTTATATGGGCTCGTGGTCTCAGCTGTGTACTTGGTGCCTCTGCAGTGGTTTGACAAAGTCTGTTAGCATGTGATGAGACTTTGGAAAGCATGGCTCTTTGTCAGTCAGTGACTCACAGCCAAGCCAGCAACATTCTGATGCTGTATTACTTCATGGTGGCCACAGCGATGCTTTCCTGTCAGCATGCCATTTAGTATGTGCACTGTGCCTCAGTGGTACCACTTCGTGTTTAGGTTTTCAAATGTCAGACCTGATGTCTTTCTGTATTGCTGGATAGATGCTGTCTTTTTTTTCAAAATGACAAAGATTTTAGTTGGGTTTTTTTTAAACTGTCAACTTATCTGTTTTTCTCTGTGATATCTCACCTGATGCTGCTTGTTAGATGCTGCCTGCATTTTCTAAAAACAGTTTCATTAAAAAAAAAAAGTATCTGTCTGTTTTCTCCTGTCCTCCCCTATTAAAAAAAAAAAAGGTCTTCACTACCTCTGAATGAAACAAAACCTTTGAACAAGTGACTATTGCCTGATAGAACAAAGTTAAAATAACGAAGTTAAAGTAACTTAGAAGTTCTAATCCTCTTTGGCAGTAGAAGAATGTATATTCTGTCTCCATTTGTTGGCATGCTCTTGTCCAGTGTGGATAAAGAAAAAGAAATTGAACGTCTCTTGTATTTTCTTAATTGTTAGCCGCTTGGAAAATTATCGGTCAGGTAAATTGATAACCCTGTAAGTATTACTCAGTCCACAGTTCTACTGTTACCTTTCATTAAACTGCTTTAAATGCATGATGACTTGGGCTGGCCGGTTCCACTGCTGCATTTTTCCATTGTTAAAAGTACAGAAGTTTTGGTCTCATCAGGGCTGCATGGCTTTATGTGGTTTGTTTGGCTAAACTGTTTGGATCCCCATGCTCCAAGGTGGAGTAACGCAAACTTCATTCATGGAAAAGTGAACACTTTGTGCACAGTTAGGGCATCACTTGCCACGTCATCAACATTCACTAATTGTATCTCCTGCTTTTCACAGCTCCTCATGTTAGATACACCAATTAGACACTTAGTGTGTGTGTGTGTATATATATATATTTTTTTTTTCTGTATGGCACTGAATTTTGTGAATGTGTTAAGGCACATTATGTAAGATTCTATACACTCTTTAAAGTGAACAGCAGGATTATTGCACTAAGAAATGTTTGCTTGTGATTTGAGTGCTAGTTTCTAAGGGCTTTGATTCATGAGCTAAGATGGCTGACAAGGTTGGTGCTCCTAGCATACAAACAGGACTGGGAAAGTTTGTGAAACAGCTGCATTTTAGAGCACAGTGATATAAGGGAAACCATCTCAGATTTTGTTTTGTCAAGAGAAATCTGTGCTGTAAGTTTGCACTGTAAATAGCTTGTGGATCAGAAGGCTTGAGCAGCTGATCACTGCTTTCTTCCATTAAAATGTATTTATGATACAAAGGAAGGTGACTGAGGCATAGATGCTCTGTTTGATTGTTTTAATTTTCTAAATGACAGTTGCAACCTTTTAAAATGCCTTTTTCCTTGGTAAATAGCGTAGGTTAAATCAACATGATTTTTACTTTGACTAGTGGAAAAGCTTTTGTTGTATTTTTCTGTAGTATCAAACTTGGGTTTGGACTGAATTTTGAATTTTGCAAAGACAGAAATGACAGTTAACTAGAACACATAAATAATTTCAGCTCAGTTTTGGGGACTCCTGACCAAGTGTAGTGATATATTGGCTGTATTGTGACAGAAGAACCCTGTTAGATGTGTGTGACTATAGAAGTCCTCTAATTTTTGAACTAATATCTTTCAGTAGGTTTGCTGTCTATAGTTAGGTTCTAAGTCTGCTTAACTGGGAAGCTTCAAAAGATGTTGGAAGATTTTGCCTCTAATATTTGGAGTAAGGGAAGAAACATTTTTTTTTTGTTCTCATGGTGACTTCTGGAATTGGCAAACAAACTCAGTGGTTTTTAAAGCCCTGTATGATAAGCAAACAAAGGTAAGTTTCCTTTGTGAACAGGAACAAAGAGTTACTTGAAGCAGCTTTCAAGTTGCTAAACCTAATAATCTTGGTGTTTATAGGATAGTAATTGCCATCTGGAACAAAAAGGTGGAATGTGGATTTTTTTAAATCAAATGTAGAAGGTTTATTTTTCTGAAAACATGTACTTCTGATGCAAAATACAGATATTTTAAAGGTAAAACTGAAAAATCCCATCTTCTGCACCCCAAAATTAGCATGGGAATGCAGATGCTTATGTTTGGATAAACTGGTAGAAACCGAGGTTATTAGATTAAATTGGCCAGTCCATATGGCAATAGTCTTGAAATTAGATGTTTATTGTAAAACAGGAGATTAAAGATGTTACTCAGAAAGTCCTCTGCTTTTGTGAGCTCATTACTCTTTGCAGACTCAGTAAATGTTGGGAGTTGATTGGTGTATTTAGCATTTTGCTTTGCCTAACACCCAATTGCACTTGCTTGTTTCTAAGTTACCGTGAGCAAAGAAGGAATTAACATCTAAAACAAAGAGCTAGAAAAAGTTGAAAGTTGAAGTTAGTATCTCTTGTGAGGATTGTCTACAGAATGACATTCTGTAGGGAAGAACCCGACCTATTTGTAAAGATCTACATTATTTGCAGATAGAGTTGTTCAAGAAACTACTGCAGCAGACTCGCTTCAGGTCAGGCTTCTTTTAAGCTGACACTTGTTTGCAGTCTGTCCCTCTGGGTGAAGTGTCTGGCGGGCATCGTAACCGGAATGCGCTGTGACATATTACATGACCCGTACTGCATGCCTTTGTTTACACTGTGGTGCTGCAACAAAACCAGACTTTTTCTTCTTCTTCTTCTTCTTTTTCTCTAATATAGATCGGGGGGTGCTGCAGTCTTAACGTCTTTTCTGTACGTGACAACAGATTATCTCGAATTCCCTCAGAAATTTCGCAAGCCGCTGAACTTCATGTCCTGGACGTTGCTGGAAACAGGTAAGAGATTTTTGTGTTGTCACGTTCTTTTCTGGATTTACTTGATTCTTTCTAACAACAAAAGATACTACATCTAAGAATGAATTAATAAAAAATCAGTTACAACTTTTATGTTAGTGTTACTGTTGAAATTGTCATTTTCCCCCTTGGCCCAAAGTAGCATAAGTCATGTATTGTCATGAGTATGTTTTCTGGATTGCTTTGACCCTGAGGAAAAGATAGAATTTAAAAAAGACTCTGGATTTGTGTATTTCTGAATTAAAACTAAGAATCTAGGTGACTTGGTGGAGCTTCAGCTGAAACTACCAGTCTTAATGTCAAGTAACACTATTATTGAGTGTCTTATCTTAGAGGTACAGTGCAAGCAACAAATACTGCTGCTTTGACCTTGGAGCTTCTCAGGAATCTTAGTTGATATGCTTCAAATGTAAAATGCAAAAAGAAGTGGATTGAAGCATAGACCAGGAAATTAGTTCAGTTGCTTAGTGGGAAACTAAATGACAGGGCGGATGGGGAGGAAAGGAGAAAAAGCAAATGACATCTCATCTATGCAATATAGTTGTCTTGTGGGCACTTATATATTTCTGTGCTGGCAATTGTGTATATATGAGGCTCCAGAGCAGAAGCAGTTGTCTGCCTTCCAGAGCACTTTACTGCAGTAGAAAAAGCTTAGCATTGTTTTATCTGTTATTCAGAGCTACAGAGAATTATGGTATAAAGTTAAGCTCCAGGTTCTTTTTGAAAGAATGGAGTAGTTGGAGTTGATAACTACTGCAGTGCCTTCTATTAGAGGCATTAATCTCAGTCCTGTTTATTCCAACTTAGTGATTTACCCCTGAGTTGGCTTCATGGCCAAGAGATTGCCCTGACTTTCTTTTCTTTTTCGACCTAGGCTGACGTATCTTCCCCTCTCACTGACTACCTTAAAGTTGAAGGCTTTGTGGTTGTCTGATAACCAGTCCCAACCTCTGCTGACGTTTCAGACTGACACAGACCCTGAAACAGGAGAAAAGATTTTGACATGTGTATTACTTCCTCAAATGCCTTCTGAGCCTGGTTGCCAAGGTAAGTGCCTAGAGTCAGTTTTTCATTATGTATGGAAGTATTTCTTCTTTGTTTACTGTGTTGTCTGTTTGATAAAGGTTTGTAAAACATGCATAAGCTTTAATGAGCAAAGTAGCAAAGTTCTAGGTGAATTTTCGCTTTTAAACTTTTTTTTTGTAATCATGCTAGTTTTCAGAAGACTTGAAAAACATGGCTGTTAGTGTTACTGAGAACACCACCAGCTACAATGAATAGCATATAGGCCTGGAAGAAGACGAATTAATTGCATCATTATTCTGAGGTTTGCCAGTGGGTCGAGTAGTGGTGTCCATATTTGTGTACATTAATTATACATCTTAAATACATGTATATGTAGTGAAAATTGTTGACTTTCCAACTACAGTCTCTTTACCAGAAAAATAATTGCATAGCTAGTAATAAGTAGTAGACATTTTACTTTCTAGCAAGCTAATTTTCTTTCAAGCAGAGGTGCTGTACAGTAACTTTATTATATTCTTCAACAAGTGTAGAATTACACTATAAGTTGCTTTTATGTTTTGTGCTGAAACTTGCCTCTGGGTCAGGTGGAACCATAATCTCTGTTTCATTGTTGGCTGGGTTGCTGCTCCAGTGACTTCTGGATGTTTTTTGTCCTCAAGCTTTCATAGCGATATGTGAGCATTCAAGGGGATTCATCAGAACTAATATTTAAACTTTTGCTGTAATCACTGGAGAGTAATTTATCCCATCCAAGAATAGACTTTTAAAAGAAACCATGTGAATTCTTATCCACTGAGACCAAAGGGGCCTGAGGAGAAAAGCTCAGCTGTAGATAGCTGTATTTGGGTACCCAAACTTGCCTAGTTTAATTCCACTCTTTCAATACTGTGCAGCTGGAGCAAACAAACCATTAAAGCAGTAGAAGTGTAGAAATGGCTCTGTTTTGTGTCAGCTTCTGGATTTTAAGAGTACAAATTGCATTACGTATTAAAATTAGTAAACAAACTAACTTTTAGATTTGGGGAAGTTTAAGCTAGCTCAAGAAATGTAGCTGAAGCAGGCTGACTTTCTCTAAAGGCCTCACTACTAGAAAATAGATTTCCTCCTCTCCAAATGAATCTCTTGGCATCAGGGGTAGAAGGTTTGGAATTAAGGTTGTTGGATGTGTATGCCTAGCAACACTAAAAGGATAAGGTCAGTAAAAGAAATGATTCTGTGTTAGGGAATGCCATTTATGGAACTGGCTAATGTCAGATGGCAGCTATGAGCTGGAAGAGAAGCAGGTATAGTGGCAAGTATATTAAATTACGTAATCAGTACTCTGAAACTGCCACAGACCTGAAACAGAAATTTCTCATTTATTCAAAAACTATTGTATGTACTCGATAACAGAAAATCAATGCAAGTTCTGTTTTCTATCAAAAAAAAGAGTAATAGTTGTAAATCCTGGATGAGTGATTGGTTGTAAATTGCAGTTATGAACAATTTAGCAGGTTGATGTTTTGGACTTTCCGTGAATCTTTAGATACATTTTCTGTTCTAACAGATAACTTACCACGCTGTGGTGCACTGGAGAGTCTGGTAAATGAAATGTCAGATGAAACATGGAATGAGCGGGCAGTGAATAGAGTCAGTGCAATTCGCTTCTTAGAAGATGAAAAAGATGAAGAGGATAATGAAATGGTATGTTTTCCAAGACTTTGGATATCTGCAGACACTGCGACTTTAATGCAAAAGTGTAAAAAGTATCTGAGCTCTCTTGCTGTAGATTTTTCAGCTGTGACTGCATGTTTTTTGCATATGTTTGTAGCAGAAACTGTTTATGTTGACTGCCAAAACTTTTCATATTGCCTTAAAATGCCTTTTTGATTTTTTTTCTGCTTCGAATATAACTTTCATGTTCTGATGCAGGACAGTCTTTGTTTTCCTTTTTTTCCCCAGTGTCTGCTCAGGATGTTTTCTTTCTAGAAACAAGATAGGATCTTTCTCTGCATCTGTGAAGCTTTACTGCCTGAAAGTATATAGTCTAATTTAGGATTCCAGCACTCTGGCATGTGTCTCCCTTAAGGTCGTCATTGTTTGTCTCTCTAATTTCTATTTCCATGCTCTTTCTTTCTCTATTTCTGTTTTTTTTTTTTTTGCTCCACCATTTGCATTGAAATAACCATAGTGTCCATAAACAGCAAGAATGTTGCTCATTAGTTCCCCACTTTAACAAAGGATTTGGGAACGTCTGTCACTGTACTTATGAGACCTCTCCATTAAGTTGGGCTCTGCATGTCCTGAAGATCAAAATGCAATGTGATCTTTAGCTTTACTAACTTTCACTAACAATTAAAACTCTTTGTAAAGACTCTGACTGCTTCAGTTGGATTTTCAGCATGCTTTTCTGATGCTCTAAAAACTTGCTGGTGGTCCTCATTAGAGCTCAGCTTTAGGTACTTCAGGGCATTGTCTGGAATGTAGCACACTAGAAACATGGTCTTACTTTAAAAAGTGTCTATAAAAATTCTTAGTTAATAGGGAAATTAACATTTTCTTACATTTTCAATTACAGTGGTTACATAATCCAAAGCAGCAGAAATTACATGTCTCTGACAAGTGTGATTTGTAGACTGACTGATCAGAGAGTTCAGAAGGATGCCTCTTAACAACAGTGCCAGCCCAGGAATGTCCATACGATAACGAGGGCTCAGGTGTTAATGATAACTGCTTTCAGTCATGGTATTACAGCCTGACTTGAGGCAAGAACCTTTTTTAGGGGAAAAAGTTGTTTATGATCCTACTGGGGAGGAGGAAGTGAGGATTTCCAAAGCAGTCTTGACCAATGCACCCATTAGTTCTGCTGTAATCTGCACAGTTTACATGTATACCACTGAGAAGTCACTGCATGTATAGATGTATTATACTGATACATATGTGTGCAACTATTCTTGGTGTTCTGTTGGTCTCTAATCTGGATGCTAAGTGGAGTTCTTGTAAATTTTGTTTTCCTTGTAAAGGCTTCAGCACAATGATGTTAGACATTCTTATGTCTAAGATGGGAGAGAAACACTCCCTCTTCTTCCTTTCAAGATATTTGTTCTCAGTTGACAAGAGAACCAAACTGTGGTGGGGCTGGAAGGCACACAGAGCTCCACACAAACATGCATTTGACACTGTAAAGAAATCTTGTGGGATTCTTTCAAAACCAGCTGAATGTTTTTTGTTTGAAATATGATCTTAAAATCACTTGGATGGTTTTTAAGGAAAAAAATAATCCCAGCTATATTTATGAAAGAATCTTCACTTTATAACTTGTAATTGTACTTCACTTGAGTGGCTCTCAGATTAGTGGGTCAAGAGAGGAAAAAATTTGCTCCTAGACAGTTCTTAAAACCTCTTTCACTGTCTTCATAAACAAGCAGCTATGAAAATAGCGTTCAACTTAGAGCATCACACTTTGAAAGGGAAAAGGGGGAAAAAAGAAAAAAAAATCGATACCTAATATTTGGTATGTGAATGCTAAAGCCTTGAAAGTGTGTATTGTTTTTAAAAGAGACGAAGGCAAAACCACTTATTGCGCTGTTTATTTTTAGAGAACACTTCTAAGGCGAGCCACTCCACACCCTGGAGAATTAAAGAACATGAAAAAGACAGTGGAGAATTTACGGAATGATATGAATGCTGCTAAAGGACTGGATTCAAACAAAAACGAGGTCAATAATGCCATTGACAGAGTGACCACTTCTGTGTAGAATTTCATCTCCAGGTTTTACCTCCTGTGTCTTCCCCTGCTGTTGAAATGTTCCTGTCGTCTTCTGGGAGCTCACTGAGCCCCTTTTTGTTTTTAACCAGAACCTGATTCATCGTCTCCATATATGTGAAAAGTGCTGCCCACTGGAAGAAAGTGCCTTATTTCATCCAGGCAGTGAACCAGTTATTTCCAAATCAATATTATAATTTTAATAGTTCTAGGCTTTTTTAAGTATAATACACTACTGTATGCAGAATAAAATATTTTTGTCTTAAACACAGGGGAAATAATGCTTTTCTTTTCCAGAGTGCTGGGATATCTTTTTCCCAGTGGCTGGATGTGCTAGTGAGAAATATAGTTTTGTGGAAAATTGATACACTTTTTTATTCTTTTGGCAGCTCAGATGGTGTAAATTTTAATTTTTTTGTATAGGACTTTCGTAACAAAATTATGTATTTCATTTTTAAGAGAAAATTTATCTTGAGTGGTACATATTTTAGTATTTGTGGAAGAGAACAAGTCTCATGGACAACTGTATTCATTCATTTGTACCACCCATTGTGCCTTATTGTGTCTTGTATGTCATATTAGTCTTAAATATACCAATTCTTGAGGAAAGTGAGTAGATTTAAACTTGGTCTCCTGTTTTAGATATGTTTTTCTTTTCAGATAGTAATTTGTTGGGAGTTTTACAGCAGAGAACTTATGTTTATATCATGGGATTTTAGGTTGTGAAGCACAAAATACTAGTTTTGTTGTAAACAGAATTAAGATTAAAATGGCCAAACTGCTATTGTTTATTCCATAATGCACTCACACTTTAACTTAGTTGTAATGATACATCTTGTTTTGTATGTCATGTTGCATTGCAGTCACTAGAAATTCATGCTTCTGTTGGGTTTTTTTTTTAAATGTGCCATCTGTAAAATAACTTGAAAAACAGCATGATATACTTTCAGAAGCACAGTATGAGACTAGTTTTATGTATTACACAAGAAAGCATGATTCTTTAAAGTGCTTTGGTGGTTTTATATAAATATATAAAACCATAATAAAAAAATCTTTGAAAGCTTCAGTAGGTTTATTGTATCATTAAAATAGCAATTAAAATATGTATGAATCAAGACTGGAATTTACTATCACTGTTACTGTGTTGCACTTCCAGTGATCCAATGCTGATTTCAAGGTCTTATTAAATCTGTGGGTTCTTGTTTGTTTATAAAGGTAAGTATTGACTGAGTTGAATTCAGTAAATAACAACTTTGCAAAAGGCAGAGAAAGATGGATTTTGGTGTCTCTGGGTTCTGTATGTGCCGTGAACTAACAAAGCTTCTGACTTGTTCAGGGGCTTGAGCAGTCTGAGTTCAGAGCAAAGGTTTGACATATGTAGTGTGTATTACTAATGCAATGAACACAAATTTCTCAAAATGAAAGACCTGACACTTCATGCATGGCTAACCATATGCCTTCTTCTGCTGAACATTTCTTCCAGTAAGAGTGGATGGTATGAGCATTTCTGGGAGAAGATGGGAAAGGAGGAGATCAGGGAAGTCATAATTACTTTTGTGTTAAAATTAATGGCTGCGATATTTAATAATTTTTGTAGTTTAACTTTTTGATTTAAAGCTTTTACAAAAGGCACTGCTATCCAATGTTGAACAAGTCAGTATTACAAGCCATCTGCAAAGATTCAAATCTAATGTGACAAAATGCATTAATTTTTATGATTTCTTTTCATCTTGAAGGTTCTTCATTTAAGCTTCAAGGCATGGTCTCTTTGCAGGAGCTGCTGCAGGTTGATAAGTGTTAGGTTAGTTCATGAGTAGTGCAGTTTCAATCTTCCCAAGGCAGAGTTCTGCCAGTTCTTGGTAAGCTGCTATAAAAAGAAACAGGCAAAAAAAAACCCGCACAAAAATAACCAACAATAAAACAAAAACCAGAAAGAAAATCAGGTTTTGGTACAGTTGACTCCAACCTTGGGCAGAGTTTTTATTTTGAATTTCTTACTGGGATTGACACAACAAAAGTTTAAAAATGTAGGAAACTCTATAGTCAGAGTTCAAGTAAACCTTGGCAAACCCGTTTGAGATGAAAATGACTTCCTAAAAAAGACAAACTGAAGCAAAACATAGCAAGACTGTGTGCTCTGTAATGACAATTTTTCATTTGGAGGCTGTGGTTCATTTTGCTTTTAGCATCTACTCCAGATATAAACAGGAGAGCTCCATCAGCAAGGTGAAATGAATGTGTAAAGCCTGGATTTGGGCCTTGCCTAATGTGCCATCAGATGACAATAATTAACTGCACCTT